ATAGTAATAGAGAAATTTAGAAAAGTCACTGAGGGTACTTTACTACTGTAAATAAGTAAATAAGAAGTAAATAGGTGACAGATGATGCTAATTGTTTTGGACTGGATGAGATCTGGGTCTTTAAATTACAATCCTAGTGAGTACAAACAGTCTTTCAGAAGTCACTGATGTTTTCATTAACCCAAAGCTGGGGCTGGCACAATGCCTCTTTCCCAGGCCCGTGCTGGGTCCTGGCCCAGGCTCTTTGCAATCCTGAAGCCATGGGAAGGTTGGACATACTTGCAGCTGCCCATGAGCCCCCTTGAGAGGTTCATGTCCTGTGTGAATTTGCTTATGGGACTGAAGGTTTCTCTGGTGCACTCAGGCTCCCTGTGCAAGTCGTCTCAGCGGTGGTGTGAGTAAGGGAAAGAAGCAGATCCTTGCCTTGCTCTCAGACCCTGCTCCACCAGCAGCACTTCCTGTGTATAGGAGGTGTTTGCTTCTGCCTGTCAGTATAAGAACGTACTATTCTCTCCTGAAGGGAGAGTGTCTATAAGAAAGTTCCTTTATGAAGGCATTTACATTGCATTTTAATTAAGTGCAGCTTCAGCAAGTTGTATGAGTTGCTTTATTTTTAAGGGCATCGTGTAACTCACCTCACAGAACTGACAATTCTACTGAGAGTATGAGGGCATTACAAATGCCCTAGATGATCAAGAATATTTTGGGTCTCCACTGCTAGAGTCTTTGCTGTGTTAAAGAAAACAGTGACTTTTTTTCCCTCCAAATGCTTTTAGTTAAGCATCCCCTGCCATATCCTCAAAGATTTTTCTCATTTAACACTCAGAAAATTTATATTTTCTGCCAATTAAATTTTTTGAGGTCAAATTCATCTTTGATTGAATTTGGTTCTCCACAAGGAGCTTGGATATGACTATGTAATTTTGACATGACTGTGAAGCACGGTGCTCTCTGACTGCTACCTTTGCTGTGACTCTGATCTTCAAAATGAGGCTTAATATTTGTGGTCAGTTAGAGAACTTGGTGAAGACCTTGAGAAGATGCAAAGTATTACAGGAACAGAGGTAGTCAACAACATTAACCTGCTCTGATGCTTCTGCGTTATTCAAAAGAAATCACAGATAGGGAACACCAAGCAGAACGGTGTGATAATGGTGTGATTAAGTGTGAGGTGGTCACAGTACTAAATGGTGAACAAATAAATAAAATAACTTTCATCATCTCTTTTAAACATTATTTTGCCTTAAAATCCCAGGAGTTTGACAGGATTTGATTGAAGAAGATATTCCTAAAATTGTTGACTTGCAGTGCTTGTAACTAGTTTGGCCTACATCAATCATAGAATCATGGAATATTCTGAGCTGGAAGTAACCCACAAGGATCATTGAGTTCAACTCTAAAGTGAATGGCCCATATTTGCAACCTTGGTGTTATTAGCACCATGCTCTAACCAACTGAGCTCATCTATCTGAACGGCTGAGCCTCAGAAGGGTGTCCTATAATCATATTCCCAATGCTAAGGAGTGCTCAAGGACTGCATCCTTGTAGAAATCTTGCAAGATCCTCAGTAGAGAAAGGATTATTTATAGCTCTACTTCTACATACCCCAGTATGTTGTCTGCTATCTAATTTGTCTAGGGCAGATTGCCATTAGCCTCATTCAGCCAGCTGGTTAATTCTTCTATCTCTGCCTCCCATTTTTACTGACAGTCTCATATGCAATCTCCTCTTCCTGCCATTCCATAGATCGAGATGATGATTCTTATTAATACTAACAAGGTGTTCCTGTGAGGAGCAATGTGCAGAGGCAATATTGCAGTGAGGAAGGGAACAATCTGTTCTGTTTCTGCTCCTTTAGGGTATCTACTGCAGCAAGAAACATTCAAATTAAACACTGGGCACAAACCCCTCACTTTATAAGGGTAAGGACAGAGAAGTGCTAGAATAGATGGCCTTGAGAGGTGGTGTCACCTCCAGAAGACCACGAAGCCAAGCTAGATAAGGACTGTCAGGACTGACATAGACAGTGCTGGTCCGGCTCAGTGATAGGCAAAGGGTTGAAGCTTGTAGCCTTCCTGAGGCTCCTGTGGGAGGAGTCCCTGTGTAGATGTTACTTTACCACAAAGAGCTTGCTTTTAGGTAGAAAAACTGCCATTACTTCTATGCAAACTTTGATACCTCTGTGTTACCGAGGTTGAGCCTAGCAGTCATAAACTCCCAGGTGGATGCCAGCTAACAATTCCTCATCTACCCTGTTGCTTTATGCAGCCAGTGCAGTGCTAAAGCACCAAGTTGTCAATGGCTGTTGGGTGCACCACATTTACCACTTTTCTCCTTTCTACAGCAAAGAGTCTTTTAACATGTTGTAACAGCATAAAAGCAGGAGGAACTGAAATATAAGTAGGAGGCAGGAAGAATCATTAGTTAGGAAGCCAGTCTGCAGCCTGTATAATCTTAGTTCAACTACTGTGCTATTTTAAACATAATGCTTTGCAAACTCTCTCTTTTGCTCTTATAAACTCTCTCATTTGTTGTTTCTGCAGTTTCTACTGCAACGATTCTCTGGGGTGTCAGTATACTCCTGCAGGAGGCAAGAGTGAAAGGGATCCTCCATGGATATATTACACCCCTGCTCCATCCCACTATAATAAGAAACATTCTAACAGTGTGAAGAGCTGCTCGCTCTCTTTTGTGTTTGCTCAGCTAAGTAGTGGCTTTTAGCATGTATATCAAACTAAGCAAACAAAAGCACACAGCAAATGTTGTCTACCTATGATATAGTTTCTTCCTGCCTTTTCAGGTTTGAACATTAACTATGCCCAGCCAGGAAGGAGTAGGCATACACAGACAGGAAAGACTTCCACTGAATTATTATGCATGCTACTTAGCACCTAGTCACTGCATTTTTCAAAGGGTCTTTTAAAATCCTGGAGTGATACAAGTGATAGAATACACCCAGAATGGGCTAGGGGCTTTGTATGTATCACTTGGCAATGGTGTACGGTGGGTGTGATATTTGTAACAGCTGCTAGGTGCTCTGAAGCTACACTACATTTATGGAATTTTCCACTGAGCTCTAAATATTCAGGCCACATACACAGTGAAATTTCCAGCAGTGGCAGTACAGATAAAAACACTCCAACCGTATGCCATAATTGTGCTCTATTTAGAGAGTGCAGCAACTCAGGCATTTTCACAGTAGTCATCTTAGATACGGTATACATTGTGCTTTATAAATGCCAATTCATTAGTGCATGTAACATGTAGCATGCTGCTCTTTATAACACAAGAAAGGGAGAGAGCTATGTTTCAGTGAGGAATAAATATACAAAAAAGGACTATTACTTAGGAGAAGGAAAAGAAAAATTGAGAGGAGTGCCAAATTCAGTTTCATTTCTCTCTATGAAGATCTGTAGAATATCAAAGTCCACTTTTAAGAGGTTTCAAATAAGTGACAGTAGTTTGAGTAACTATAAATTAATATTAAAAAGACTCAATTGATTGGAAATTTCCACTTCAAGATATTGAATCCCACCCCAGAAAGAGTATATCACAGACAGGGCATGGTTTTAAAATACAGTGAACAAGCATACACACTTTGCATCTTTTTTATAGTGATGCTACTCTAGGTACAATTCCAGGCTGCAAGAAAGAATGTAACATTATAATAATGCTTCATGTTGAAGGTTTTTCTACATTTGGCAAGTATTAAGCCAGCAAGTCTGACCAAAACCAGATGGTAAAAATAAAGGAAAAAATCATTCTATCACTAGAATGAATTAAAATAAAATACAAAGAAGAAAACACCGGAGCTAAAAATCATGCTTTAGCTCACTATTCTGAAGTGATCAGAAGGGCAGGTTCACCTGTTGTACAACCTGTTTTGAGACCAGCAGTGCAGCTGTGTGAGATCATGAAAAGTAGGTCAGCACAGTCAATCAGATTGAATGCCCGGTCTTGCTAGACTTATGAATAAAATATTTTGTACTTTTTCTACAACTCCTCTCTGCCTTGAATGGCAGATACATTAACCTATTTTAAGATTTATTATGATTGCAAAATGCCTCTATGACCTAAATGTGGACCATTAAGCTATATTTGTACGTCACCTTTTTGTGGCCTTTCTTTTGTAAATTCAGTACACAACAGAGAAAAGTGGTGAAATACTTCCCCCTTGCACCTTCTCTACACTAGAAGCCCTGAGAAAAAAGAGAGATCTTTTGCACTGTCCTTATCCCTTGTCCTGTCCTTTCCCCATATTAGCTGAGTGATGTGTCCCATCCAGAAGTTTAGAATCACAGGATATGCTGAGTAGGAAGGGACCCATCAGGATCATTGAGTCCAACTCCTGGCCCTACTTAGGACACCCCAAGAATTACATCATGTGTCAGTCAAATGCTTCTTGAACTCAGACAGGCTTTGTGTTGTGACTGCTTCCCTGGGGAGCCTGTTTCAGTGCTCAACCACCCTCTGGGTGAAGAACCTTTTACTCATATCCAACCTAAACCTCTCCTGACTCAGCTTTATGCCATGTCCTTGAGTCCTGTCACTGGTCACACGAGTGAAAGGATTAACACCTGCCCTTCTGCTTTCCCCTGTGAGGATGCTGAAAACTGCAATGAGGTCTCCCTTCAGCCTCCTCCAGGCTGAACAAACCAAGTGACCTCAGCTGCTCCTCAGAAGATTTCCCTCTCTAGACACTTTACCATCCTCACTTCCCTCTTTTGGATGCTCTCTAATAGTTTAATGTCTTTTTTACAAAGTGGTGCCCGAAACTGCATGCAGTGCTCGAGGTGAGGCCACACCAGTGCAGAGCAGAGTGGGACAATCACCTCCTTTGACCTGATGCCTCCCAGGGCATGGTTGGCCCTCCTGGCCAACTGCAACTCTTATCCAACTTTCCACTGACCACCACTTCCTGGGTCCCTTTCCATGGTACTGCTCTCCATTCTCTCATTCTCCAGCCCATACACACAACCAGGGTTGCTATGTCCCAGTTGCCAAAATTACATATGAACAGTGGAGATGAAGATCCACCCGTTAGTAAATTATGGAGAAAAATAAAAAAAGATTGAAAGCAATGCAATATTTTTTTTCAGATGGTGCCTTCTATCAGTCAAGTTCATTTTCTCAAATATTTATTACTAGGCTGGCATTGTTGTGGCTGGCTCAAAAAATAGCAACCTTCTACTGAATATGAAAAGAATACGTAGATTTTTATGTGAACTAGACAAACAAACATGGTGTACAGACTTGTTGTCCATTTTTAAACACAAAGATATACCCCAAAGCTGCCTGACAATACTGCTGCTGACTATTATTCACTTCAATTCACCTGACTGTCTTGGTCAGTTTGGTGTTTTCCACATTTGAAGATCTCACAGCAGGTTTCACCACAGGTTTGTGATACTAAGACAAGAACAACTTCAACCCTGCTAAACCAACAGAGCTAGACCTCTGGAAGAGGACATTCCTCATCTAAGGAAACCTCAAGGAGGGTTGTGCAGAGATGACACCTGGGATCAAGGATAGAACTAGAACATACCCACAACTCCTGTTTACTGAATATGTTTTCTGGAGACAAGAAAACTAATTATAAAATAATATTGATGGCTCTGGCAGGTGGCAAAGGAGCTTTACAATGTCAGTGTACCATTGCCCATGTTTTCTCTCTCTTCTGAGTGTTTACAGCACCTTTGCCACAGGTGTGAGAAGGGAATGCCTGATTCATGTGCCCCAGTCCAGCTCACACCATGGTGTACAGATATTTATCTCCTCCAGTCTGCTTGACTTTGGGTTCAGTCAGCCCAATAGAGAAATGGGAGCTAACGTGCTAAACTTGCCTTGCTTTCCTTTGTGGAAATCAAGTTGTGTGATGTCTGCAAGCTCTGGACTGGGTCGTGGCAGGACATGGGGCTGCCAGAAAGGGCCTGGACTCTCCAAGGCTGCTGGAGGGCAAATGCATCTGCTCTGTGGGCTCCTTTCCACACCTCTGTACGTCAGGCTATTGACTGCCACAGTTCAGGTTGCTTCTCATTCCCATGCGCACCTGGTTCATCCTTCTGGTAGGGGAATTGGGAAGGAAAATTATGCACTACCTGAAAGGGGGCAGAGATCAATTATCCAGCAGATCCCAGAACTCCTCGCTTTTCTTCTCTACCCTTGATATCCAGATTTACCAAGTTGCCAACCACATCAGGAGGAGATACTTCTTCTGGGTAATACCTACCTAAAGTATTACTTTAATTAGAGCCAAAGAAGGCCAGGAGAAAGTGAAAGGCAGAGAACCTAGTCCTTTTCCTGCAAGATAACAAATTCTTATGAAGCAATTACAGTAACTTTATCCTGGTATCAAGACACAATGGATTCTTGCCATCCTAACAGGATTTTGATTGTTAAGAGGGATTATCGGTTTTCTTTCACACTGTGGAGAGCATGAAACTTTCAGGGAATAATGTCCAACATCTGTTGGACGTCTCCTTCCAGCCACCTGCCCTCAGAGGGCCCCCAAACAATAATGAACTTCCAGGCTTTTTAAAACTGTTTCAGACAAAGTCTTCACCTCAGGAAATATCATAGAATCATAAAATGGTTTGTGTTGGAAGGGACCTTAAAAATCTAGTTCCAATGCCCTTGCAGGGACACCTTCCACTACACCACGTTGCTCTGAGCTCCATCCAGCCTGGCCTTGAATACCTCCAGGGATGGATTATCTAAAACTTTTCTGGGCAACCTGTTCCATATATGGACAGTAAATTCCATGACTAAATGGGTTTCCACAATTTCTATCACCAAGCCTTTGAATGAAAAGGTCTGTAACATCTCAGATGAATTTCTGAATATACTGGACTGATAGCTCTGATTCTTTGTTTTCACACATTGTTTTGGGTTTAGTATGGAAATGTTTAACCTGGGTGCCACAAGAGCAGGGAACAACTATAGGTATACAAAGTTGCAATCATGCAATAATAGCAAGATATTTTTAATAGGGTTCATGCAATGCCTTATAATAGTGTGGTTGAAAAGAAACAAACACAAAAAGTTATTTTCTTCATCTGTCTTAACAAAATTGCAGATACGTTTGAATTTGCCAAGACTTTGATTTATGAATGATAAATATGAAACAGGCATTAGAAGCTGCAAACAATGCTTGATCATCCATCAAACAGACAAACCTGATGGTCTGAGAAGGCTGCTGATTTCATCAGGGTTGTGTTTGTCTGCTTTTCCTAGCTACTTCTTTCTATAGCCAATCACTTCTATTTTCAACCATTTGTGCAGTCTGTCTTGCATTTGAAACAAGGAGAAACAATTTCTGCAAAATCAGTGAAAGAAGCCACAAGTCATCTCCCACTGACTCCTCTGATTAAATTTTGCCATGTTCCTCTGCCTACAGTCCCCAGCATAAAATAGAAAAACATATAAAATTGAGCAGTCTGAGTATGCTGTCACAGCATGTAGGTCACCTGATCAGTTATCCAGCACTGACACATAAGCTTCTGTGTTAATAAACTTTGTGACTATGTGGATCAATTTCAGCATCCAAATCTAATAGAAAAAAATCCTCAGCTTTTTTAATTTAATTTTTTAATTTTGGCACCATATTTCCCCCAGAAGAAGATTATAGAAAGAGTTCATCACGAAAGTACAGACAAAAATTCAAATACTGGCTTCCTTTAAGCAGCTGAAAAGCTGTACAAAACTAACCTTCATGTCCTTCTAAGCAGTCTCTCTAATCTTTCAAATCCCATTCAATCTTATTATCAACTCACTTGGCAGAATTAATGTACTAAAATGGGCACTTTGCCAAGTTTTTTATAACAGTTAGTTTCTATTATGCCAATTCAATTGGAAATTATTAAAAATATAAGCAAAAAGACCAATGAAGATATGGTTGACTACGTTACAGCCTAAAGATATAATTAGTCTTATAAAAATGATAAAAGGATATTAAACATGTATATTTATGATATGACAGATTCAAATCTACATGACACACAGAAAATGAGCAACCAAACTCACCCAAACTAATCGGAAATGAAGGCTGATTCTTTTTCACATTGAAATATTAAAAGTACATGGTGCTAAATGGAAATCTCTTCGTTTTGATTTGGATAATAAAACATGTAACCGCTTTGCCTCCTCAGTCTGGAACACCAAATGAGTTATACTTTTCATAATTAGTGCCAAACCAAAAATAGGTTGGGTATCTACTTCTAAGACACTGCTATTTTCAGCACTGCTTGTAACAGAATTTTTTTGGCCACACTGGGAGGTATAACCTTTATAAACTGTTGTGCTAGTAGTGTCCTGGTGGCCTGAGTTCAGAGCAAAGAAATAAGCACAAGTTGTACATATGTGTTGTCCAGGAACTTGTTTGCACCAAAAATACTGTTACCATGAACAGGGATGTAAAGAACCTTCTGATCATTTGTGTGAAGGTGTTACAATTTCTGTAGACTTTTCAAAGTCTAGGATGTGACCACTGTGATCGGCTATGAAAACTATCAGTATACTTAATTCTTCAGACTGGGACATGGCCATTACAAGTTAAACACAGAAAACATTCTCAAGTGCCTTTAGTACCATACAAATGAAGAAATCCAGATACATTTTTATAAAAACTCCTTAAAATATGCTACAAATAAGCCAAGACTAAGGGACTTCTGCTGTAAAAGTCTGCAATAAATCATTGCACTGAAGACAGAAAAGAATTTCATTTATAAAACTAACCTTGAGGTTTGATGTCATTTACCAACAACAACAACAAATAAGTAAAAGAAACATTATTACTTCACTAGGCAACTAGTGGTGTTGCCCTTCTTTCTCTGTTGTAAAAAGGCTATTTTTACCAGAAATAGCACAAGCTACCAGTGATCTCATGAGGAAACGGTCTCATCTAGAGATAAGTTATATTTGGTCAACAGAGATAAGTCAGATTTTTTGTTTTGTACTAAGGTGTCTACTAAGGTGTTTTCTACTAAGGTGTTCCTGCCTGCTCTCTGGCACTTCTTATGAGAGAAATCAAATAGGTTTGTGTCTTCCACTGGATCAGTCCTGCAATCCTTAAAACTATAAACATCTATTACGTACAGATGGGTAGACTTGTAGGACAACTATCATTGCTATGTCATGTGGAATGGTAATGGTCTGGGATGGTGACCAAGCATGCTTAGGAAACATGGCTTATTTCCTTTGTGGTTCACAAACCCTGCCGTGGGTCTCTATGATGTAGCAGCCACTTTGCTGAATAATGCATCTGTGTCTGGTATTATCATTATCTTTCTTCCTTTCTAAAGACATAAAGAAGATGAAAATCCTGAAGATTAATCTTAAAATTTACCTTATGGTATTGTAATTTTAATAATAGTCTGAAGTACTGATGTTAAACTACAGCAGTGAGGTAAAAAGTACTGCTTGATACACCAAGCTCAGAACTGTGCTCAGAGTTTCTGAAACAGTGAAAAGAGGCACCACCTCCTCAGAGAATTCCTACTCTGATCTTATCTCAGCCACCAGCTTCCTTTCAAACAAAGTCCATCCGTTTTCTCTGGAAAGAGTGGTAATATCCATCTAAGTCAAAGACAGGCTCTGAAGCTTTTGTCAGTTATACACCACAAGACTTCAGGATGTGCCCAGACTCTATGATTCTAATAGCAAGTTGGTTTGAGTACCAAAACTCTTATGTCTGGCTCTGCTGAGTTCCCAGATGAAGTGCTGAGCCACCTTCCAGACCTGTGCCATGTAATTAAACACTTCTGCATGCATGGCACAGCACTGTGCTACCTGTGGAGACTGTCAATAACAGGACAATGAGAAGTGCATAGACTGATGAATACTGGAACATGCCCAGACTGTTGGTGCACTTGGCTTTTTCGGTCCATCCCTATGAAAAATCAACTTATTTTCTTTAAGTGATTTTGTGGTCTCATACAAGAATTGTTGATGATCATTTTCTTTTCATGTGAATGTTTAACAGAAGAACTCTAGAAAATGACAGTGATAATAAACCACTGGCTCTTCTGATCAGGTAGCTTCTCATTCTAATTAGTACAATAATTTAATCAACAAAAATGTTAATGAACTTTTTGTGTATGTATTTTGCATTCTCACCCCTACATCTGTCCCTGGCCTTGTCTGGATTGCTCACAGTATGTACACATTCCTTCTAGCAGATTTAACCACTATGCATCACATTCCAGTGGGAAGGAAATTGTGTCTCATTATTCTCAATGTTTAACAAAAAACACTTGAAATAACAATAAACCATACAAATTGCAAAAGTAGAAAAACACAGGGCTCAGCACAGTAGGAGAAGTTCTGTCTGCAATCTGGATTGAGTGAAATGGAGAAATCTTCACAGACTGTGCTTGAGTCAGTACCTGAATTAAAAATTGGCTGTTCTGTTCTATCAGTTTGTTTTATAATTGGTATTTTGCTTACTACAAGAAAATTATAGGTCTTCCAGTGCGCTGTCACAACTTAGAAATACGTTAAACCATAAAATCTTGAGCACACAATGCAAAAACTGAGAGAAATAGACAATTTACAATCTTCCCATTTCTAAAACATATTTTCTTCAAATTTACCTTGATTCTTATGGTTCAGTTGAGGTCCACAGAACAAGACAAAACCCATTCCAGAAGTCAGTGGAAGAAGGCTGAAGTGCTAAGAGTAAAATTTCTGTCTCCATCTCTTTTTAAAATGCATGACTTTTCTGATGGAAGCATATACAGCCAATACTTACTGCATGGCGAATGGGAATCTCCTGCATAATGGAAATATTTAAGTCCAACCTGTGTGTGCATGGAGGGATGCTTGATTGTTTTCAAGGATCCATCCCAGATAGGGCATGATGGGCACTGCCCAGCAACAGGCAACAGTAGCTCAGCCAAAACCATGACGTGTCCCTGGACAGCAGTACTGCATGCTATGGCTCTAAGGGTTCACTGCCACAGTCAGCCCTCGGTGCTGGGAGCCACCTGGGTGGGATCATGTGGATATTCCCACCCAAAGCTGAATCACCTGAGGCTGGGCTGTCCCTGCCCTGAACATTCCTGTGATGCACATCAGCTGTTTGGAGCACAAAGATAAGGAACTGGTGAGAGTTCACTGACAAGTCCATGGGCAGGGGAAATGGGGTCTAGCTAAACTTCTGCATAATGTTTATATTAGAGTGGGTGGCACATAAAGCAACCAAATTTTTTTCCAGATTTAAGCCAGATATGGAAACAAGTCAGGTGCTTTTTGTGTGGTGCTGCATTTATAGGAGTAATTCAGCAGCTTCAGCATGGTGCTGGGTCTGCAGGGAATAATGACCCTTCAGGGTCTTTGCTGCCTTTGGAGCAGGTTTCTCCTGTTTGGCCCTCAGATGCCCACAGCTGCTGGTGAGTTCACTACAATCCGCTCTTCCATCTGGACACCTCTCATAGTAGATATTTTCTAACTAGAAACATACAAACATGAAAATATGCTGTATCAGAAATAGAAGAGAGCTATTCAACAGAAATTATATGCTCACTGCATTCTCTTCCATTTTTTTGACATTATAAACCACAGACAGTTATTTGCATCATAAAAAAGAGGAAAATATTACCAATCTTATTGCAGCATAAGATTATGCTTCTCTTTTAAGGAGAAATTTCATTTTCATTTATTTTCAAGTGATCACTGAGGTTCTGTATTAATGTTAGGAGTGAATATTTTTTTACATATGTAAAGCATAGTTAAATTGTGAAACTCATACCAATAGGAAGTTACAGAAACTACAAATAAAAATTACTTCATAATGACAAATTCATGACTAAGAGGCTCATCAGAGCCTATTAAGTACCCTGATCCAAATGTAAACTCCACCTAGGCATATTCCTAAACTTGTAACTACTAGAATGAGAGGTGTTCTTGTGAGGCAGCATGTAGTGGCTTTGCTATTAATTAGCTCTTAAACTGACATCTCTAATACCAGACTAGATGGAGCCTCATTCTGAGTGTGTAGCATTTTAAATATTTGACCTTCCTCTCACGTAATAACTTTACCCTTTTCCAAGTGGAGATCATGTAATAGAAGACATACTTGCCGGACATGTTCAGTATATTTTTTCACGGGATGCCAAACAGGATTTGCTGAAGAGAAAACCTTTGTCTATGTCATGCTTTCAAAGGGATTTTAGTGAGATGTCTGTGGGAACTGAGTTTGGTTAACACCATTCAAAAGTTTGGTCACTTACTTTTTTTTCCTCCTTTGTCCAGGAAAAAGAAATCACTACACTTCAACAAGTGGTGTCTGAGACCTTACTATGCTCTGAAGAGCTACACAGACCACCTTGCTCTGGTAAAGCATAGCTGGGATTTGAGAATATCTTGCACAGGTTAATAGAAGACAATGGAAACTAGACTTCAATTTCTCTAAACCTGTACTATGCTCTTACACAGAAAAGAAGACTGTAATGACAAAGTCCTAGAGAATAGCTTTTTCTGTTCCGCCTTTGGGAGGCCAGGGGGCTCTTCTGCCTCTGATAAATTTTTTAGGTATGACAAAGATGAAGGTGACACACTTTGGCAAACAACTGCTTATGTGTTGCTTCAAGGTAATTGAGGGATGTTATGATGGTATATGCATATAAAGAGAAATTAATCAGTATTTAAAACCTAGAAATAGATTTCTGCTAGCTATTTCCAATAAATCTGGAATTATTTTAACAGATCTATATTGTAATTCATAATATAAAGGAAAAAGGATGTCAGTGTAAAATGATCCCACAGATGGGCAGAGACACCTTCCATAAGAGCAGGCTGCTCCAATCCGGGCCTGTCATTCATGGTTCTGTGGTTTGACCATTTACCTGACAGATAGTTGCAATGGACACTATGCCAAAGGAGGAATACCCAGTGCTGTCCATGAGACGGAAGCCCCCTTGCAGCTGTCCAGGTTGGGGTGGAGTGTTCCTGGCTAGGGAGCAGCTCACTGGAGTCCTGGTGGGCAGCTAAAACCTGGCATCAGGGATGGCCAGTGGCCCCCTGGGCTGCATAAATGGGGGCACAGCCAGTAGACTGAGAGTTATGACCTATCAGACCACATTCAGAATGTCGGATCCAGTTCTACCATGCTCTAATCTAGCCTAAGGAGGGCCTCAATAAGCTGGAGTGAATAAATGGAGGAGTCCATCCAACCCCAGGATGGTTAGGAGCTGGAGCACTTGCCCTTTGAGGAAAGGATGACCCTGCATAAGTAGAGGAATTTTCAGAGATCAGATGTACTCACCTCAGCCCATTGTGCACTTACACTGGCTTGGCCAATGGAGGGAATTACTCTGTCCACTCTCTCCACTGTCATGCCTGTTTCATATAGTGAAGACCCTATATCTGATTAGCTGAGTTATCCACTAGTTATCCACCGAATATCCAACTGATAATAAGTTGTGAAGGCTGGGTGAACTACAGGCCTTTCAACCTGACCTCAGTGCTGGGGAAGGGCATGGAGCAGATTATCTTGACTGCCATCATGCAGCACTTACAGGACAACCTTACAGAATCGGGCCCAACTAGCATGGGTTTAGGAAAGGCAGGTCCTGCTTGGCCAATTTGATCTCCTTTTATGACCAAGTGACTTGCCTAGTGGATGAAGGAAAGGCTGTGAATGTTGTCTACCTGGACTTCAGTAAAATCTTCAATACTGCTTCCCACAACATTCTCCTGTAGAAACTGGAAGCCCATGGCTTGGACAGGTGCATTCTTTGCTGGGTTAAAAATTGCCTGGATGGCTGGGCCCAGAGAGTGATGGTGAATGTAGTCTAATCCAGTGGGCAGCTGGTCACTAGCTGGGTTCCCCAAGACTCATTATTGGGGCCAGTCCTGTCAGTGCTGGTCGATAGTTGGCTGAACATGAACTTGCAGTGTACCCAGGAGGCCAAGAGAGCCAATGGTATCCTGGTCTGTATCAGAAGTAGTGTGGCCATCAGGACTGCAGTAGTGATGAACCCTCTGTTCTCAGCATAGTGAAGCTGCACCTCAAGTACTGTGTCTGGTTCTGGGTCCTTCACTACAAGAAAATCAATGTGGGGCTGGAGCAAGCCCAGAGAAGACCAACAAAGCTGGTGACGAGTCTAGAGAGTAAATCATATGAGGAGTGGCTGAGGGACTTGGGTTTGTTTAGCCTGGAGAAAGAGAGGCTCAGGGGAAATCCTATCACTCTCTACAGCTACCTCAAATGAGGTTGTAGCAAGGTGGGGGTCCTTCTCTTCTCCCAGGCAACTAGTGACAGGACAAGAGGACAGAGACTCAGCTGCACCAGGGAAGGTGATCTTTTATATCCACAATGTTTCATACAGAACTAGTAAAAATTGAAGAAAATGAATGACATCTGTAATAATATAAGAAACAAAAGTGACATTGTCAGGGGTTCTCCCTCTTGACATGCCCTTCTGCTTTGGTTTACATTGGTGTTTCATAGCACACATCTTACCAATGCAAAGTTGCAGAAACTGCATGAGGGATATGACCCCTTAGTTCTGTGTTCTATTCCAGAAGGATACAGTAGTGCCTGACATCATGTGAGGCTTCAGAATAACACTAATTCATCTAAAAAGTTGTCAATGTAGTGTTATCTGATTTCAAAGCACTACTGAATCTGGGATCAACAATTGCCCTGCCTTTGATTCTTAGAGGTTCAACTAGGCAAGCAAACAAACATAGAGGGGAATTACAGTGTTGGTTCTCCTCCTACCTTGAATGACATAACATCAAAGAGTGATTTGGTTCTGTGGCATTGCTCAGATTCCCTAATTTCTTTGTTTTCAGGAGAAATAAGACTTACTAATAGCAATAGGTATGCAAAAAAGGAGGTAAGTGAGCAGATGTGCAGAGAAAATCACTGGGCATAAATCTTCCCCCTTGGGCTACTAAACATATTGTATATGAACTCCTCATAAAAGCTCTGCATCCCTTGACTCTCTGATACTAATTATGATCAACCTGCAACCAAGCAGCTTAAAAGACTGCTCAGCAGCTGTATTTGCTCAGAATTCCCAGAGACAGCCATGAGTCAGTGGAAACAAATCCAGACTGTGTGACTTTGCACAGCCTTCTGCTTACAATTATAATCAAGATGGATGGGAGTCACTTCTCTGATTTTTTTCCCTACCGAGGGACCCTTTGGAGACCACACATGCATTGCTACAATTACACTCCAGCAGGTCAATAGCAGGACAGACAATTGTGGTTAATGAATAATTACCACAGTGTTGTTATAAAAGGATGTAGAATTGTGTGAAAAATATTGTGAAAGCTCTATTTCCATAAAATTTCCTATTTTTACCCCTTCCCCCCACATTCTGGACAAAATCTGTGCTACAAATGTCTACATATCTCCATGTTTAACTCCAATTTCAATGAATACAAAAAGAGATTGACACCAAGCTTATTGTAAAGATACCTTTAGATTTCAGTACCACTACATTTGAATAGCAGCCACAGAAATTACTATAGTACCCTGGTATATATGGGTATATGCTAGTTTGAACCAGGCTGAGTAGCAGTGGCAGGCTAGCAGACTATGTTTAGTCAGCCTATGTTGTGATGTTAGGATGAGTTTCTACTCTTGGGCTGGCACCATGACTAGAAGTTAGGTAGGTAAAGACAATGTGGGTCAAAATTGACATATCAGCAGTGCTGATTTTAGAGCAAGTGAGTATCTGGTCCCTAAGTCTCATTGCCTTGTCACACTGGTACAAAAAGAAATGAAGATATGCGTTTCTAAATTAGCATCCATGAGGGAAGATTTGGACTCACAGTTCATGTCTCATCACTGTACTCTTAAACAAGAGCTCAACAGATAGATAAGCCAGTTTCCAGTGGAAATCAAGTCCAACACCAACTATGATTGCTCCACCCTATCTTTTTCCAAGTATTTCATCGAGGACAACAACATAGCAACAGCATGTGTCAGTGGTGAATACAGGTTTCAAGACACCTCAAAGTGTCCCACAGCAGCTAGAGACACTAGAGCTATTTCACATGGGTATCACAGTGTGTTGCTGGATCAAAGAGTTACTGTGTTGCCTCTCTGTGACAATGTAAATCTGGATGCTGGTTTACCCCAGTTCACAGTGCACCATATTTCTTACTGCATCATTAGTTGGCTGCCTTGTTAGCATGGTGTTTCTACTAGGACAATTTCCATTGGTTATTTGGATAAGCTGCCCAACAGTGGTGCTGTGTCCACATGCTAATATTGCCAGGGAAATGCATTTCAGCCAAGAGAATTAAATGTTATGGGGAGCTTTGGGAGGAACAACGTGGGGTTAAAATTAATAGTTCTCGGTACAGATCGGCAGTCATTGCTGGTAGAACGCGTGCTGCTGATTATGCTGCCTTTCTGTTGCTCAGACCTGCCTGTGTCAAATATCCTAAATAAGACACACTATGCAGGTGTTTAGGGATGCTGCAATTTACCATCTAAAGCTCTCAACTAATGAGTCAGCAGGACTGTCTCCATGGAAAGTCGGTGATTGCAGGGCCTGTAAGCAGACCTGGGACACCTTTTATTTTGCTACTGCTGCAATCAACTGCAATATTGGATTATAAGCTCCAGGTCAGAATGGATATCTTGCAGGATTTCCACACCCCAAGACTGGCTAGGAGTGTCATTCCTACCTGCACCAAAATGGATGGAAAAGTCTGTTTGTGCTGCAGTCACATATCAATTAGACTGCAGAGAAGGCTTACCCTGAATCTGGCTGTGCTCCAGATCTCAAATACATCTTTTATTTCCTCTTTTTGGTGTCAGAGTCAGGAGAAATCAGGCTACTTGGACAATAAATTCTTTGAAGTACACAGAATAGTACAGTGTTTTAGTGTATCAGCTCATTAAGTACCCATCAGTAACCTGATTTAGTTGAGAGCTTTAGATACTAAACAGCAACATCCCTAACCAGCTGCCAAAGGGGAGACTCATTTTCCAGCCCCCACAGCATGTCTGAAGTCAGCATCAGTCTGGTTCACTCTCCTGCTGCCTTCCCTACTTTTGCAGTCTCAGCTGGGCAGTGGCCTGGTTTCCACAGTAGGAAATGAGAGACCCCTTCTGAAGTCTAGCCTGGAAAATCCAGTCTGAAAATTCAGATGGATAGATTGTGTAAACTGCTGTCCTAATATTAGTGCATTGGATAATTACTGCTAATGCATGTTTTGCTATAGCACAGTGACATCTACTGTTTAACTCAGTGTTTAAAGTGAGGATAATATTTTACCTATGTCATACTGTTCTACACTTTAGGTCTGTTCTGCTTGAAAGGAAACACTGGCATTGCCTGTGATATCCAAGTGCTGTACTGCAGG